TTTTTTTTTTTGTTGCTAAAATTGAACAAAAATTGTTCAACAAAAACTATGTTTACCAAGCAAAACATTTATATGTCGACATTTATTTGTTTATTTATTTACTAATGGATTTTTGCACCGAACAAGTGGTATTACCGAAGCTGGAGAACACTTCTCGGTTTACAACTAACGTACCTGCAAACGTTTGGTGGGGCATAGAGCACCGTCCGGAAATGCCTCAACATGCGAATCAACAACATGAAATTTTTCCAGCCGTTCCAAGTCATCAAAGATACCGTTGTTTAATGTTAACGACAACTTTGGTAGGCCAAGTTTAATCAAATAAAGTGATCGAAGATTCCGAAGACCATGGAACAGTTTGGATGGCAACTGACGACTTTGACAGTTCTGCAATTGAACATTTTCAGTACTGATCATTTTCACTGCAACATATCAACCGTTATCAACAAAGCTGTAGGCATATTAAAAAATTAGAAAAAATTGTGTTGGAGCCAAAATTTAACTGGCTGATATATCCGTATAATCAGACAGATTAAATCTACAACTAATCCAAGCATAAATCTTTATGTTTCAATTCGCCTATCAACCAACAACTTTGAAAAACAATTCTATCTGTTCAATTTTATTGCATTATTGCTTTGCATCTGTTTTGACAACAACAGTAAAAATAATAACCAAAGAAAAACTCAGAAAGAAAACATTCCACTTTTTTCTTCTGAAGAATAAAATTTTTCTAGAAAAAAGTCTGTTTTTTTGGTTTTTATATTTCTTCATTTTTTCCTGGTTTGATTCTGTAAACACAGAAAAAAAAGAAGAAATAACTTTCAAAAAATTAATAAGAAAAAAACCAGACTAGCTGAGGAAAAAAGTAGTCTAAAAAGTTTTGTTTAGATGTTAAATCTTTGACGACAGTTTACAGTGAGTGTATATTATAACTATTGAAGAAAAGTATTTTGTTTTTGTACAAATTTGTTGCTTCCTTTACACCAAAAAAGAATCAGAAGAAAAA